ATTACGCAAATACGGAAATAATGAGAAATTTCCAGAAATAAATTATTATGTAGTGTGACATTTTTTTCTTACATTTATATATGTTATCGTCAAATTTATTTTTATAAATTATGATAATATATTTTTAGGAATGTTTTAAGATGGAAGGGATTATCTGTGTTTAATGTCAAGGCATTATAGTAATAAAATTCCGTCATTTACAGCTCATTTTTGCATAGAAATGTTTTCAATTATGCATTTAAATAATAAAATCCACTTTAATAATTATACAATCCTAAGAAGTCTGACTCTGTAAGGATACGCGGAATCAGTGTGACGAGAATGAATGCACGATCGATGGCGTTCATTGTCCGGTAAATCATACGTTTAAACGTGCATTGCTTGTTTACGTAACGTAAAGTATTACCTTTCCATATGAAGTTTTACACATACTTTACTTTATACTTTATGCGTAACTTCTCGCGGTGGTCAGTTAATGGTGTAGCAAGTAATAGCGACAAGATTCAACGATGTCAAAACAAACATAGCACATTTCAATTTTTTATTTCCAATTTGATATTCTATATCTTGTTTGTGCAATTTTTATATCGATTTTTTTCATTATAATAAAAATATTTTCTGTGCGATTAATGCATTAATATAAAAACTGATTCTTTTGAATTCTAATCTTAATTTAATAATTGTACAGATTATGCAGACATTTATAAATTTTTATTATAGTATTAAATTTTCAAGATAATTTAATGAAATTTAAAATCAAATTGTCGATCTCAATAAACAGTAGATTAGATTAAATAATATAGAATAAAATAGAATAGAATAAATTCATATAAATTTGTTTAAATTGATTTGGATTTGTTTTTAAATTAAACTACATCATACGGGAGAATGATTGTGCTCGAATGATTTTAACACATTTTAGCATCGATGGTCTATAAAGATTTTGATCATTAAATCTAATAAATTTTTCTAAAAAATAATAGTCCTGGATTAATATATTTTAAATTTAAGGGGATCCTAAACGGTTGGCCGAACTCCGAAGGATGCTTTGAGAAGTCTATTGTTTTTTCTTTTTTTATCGACAAAATATGAGATTAGATAAACTGTAAATCTATTTATTGGCTATACGGATTGTTTTTTACCTGAAATTAGAAAGCTTCTTCCTTTGTTAATATTAATACTTTAATTTGTACAGGGGGGAAAGAGATTGATCAATCTATATAGTTTCATATATCTTGATTACAGAATTATAAATTCTAAGCATTCATAATTCTATAACCAAGATATATATAAGGCTATACAGATTGATAAATCTTTTTCTCCTGTACAAATTAAAGTATTAATATTAACAAAGGAGAAAGCGTTCTAATTTCAGGTAAAAAACAATTGGTATAATCAATAAATATATATAGATTTATATAGTTTTTGTTTTAGGATTCCCTTAAATATATCAATAATTTTTCAATTAATTGCATGATGGCACATAAAAAAAAAATATATATATATATATATAATTATTATAAAGTGAAAACATTCTTTCCATTGCTGTTCTAATAGCTATGTTTGCATAATCATAGGAAAAACTAGTTTATGAAGGTTAAATATAAGAGTAATGATATATCCAGTATTTTTCCTTTAGCAATATAGGATATGTATAATATTTGTTTTCTCGTAATAATATTCTAATGAAAATTTATTTTCGGCATTCATATACATGATATACTAATTTATTCCGTTAAGAAGATTATTATAGCTATAGGAAGGCTAGGAAAATTTTTATTTTAATTTTCTTTATTACTTTAAAAATTCAAATTTTATTTTTTCATTGTACATAAATTTTTATAAATTGATTTTATTATTTATAAGGTATTATAGGACAGTTGTTAGAAAAATGTTTATAGTGTCAGAGAATAAATTTTACCGTTAAAAACACGTATGAAAACGCTCTTTTCTACGCTTTATTTTTAGATCTATTTATATTATTGTAAAATCTGCAATTTTAGAATAAAGAATTTGATATACAACATTCTCTTATGTATGTCAGTGTTTTATGAAAATAATAATTAGTGTTACTGAGTCACTTAAAAAGAATTAGGTAGAAGCAATTTGCAAGTATTATCGTAAATGCACATTACGATGTAGGTATTTTTCCAACTTTTTATCTTCAATTTCCACTTGAATAATTTGAATAAAAGTCATTGCATATACTTATGCATTATGTCATATATCATGCGTGTTAATGAATTTATGTTATTAATGTCCAGCATTTTAAATTTCTCGTTCTAGATCGTTAAAAATTATTTCTGATTATGGAAATTATTTGTTCCGCCAATTAAACATAATTCAATTTTTTGTTCTTAAATTTTTCACGTTTGTAAAAAGGACACCGAACAATAATAATTATTCTTTCAAATATCTAAGAAACATTATCGTGATTTTGCTATTTGATTATGATATAATTCCATCGCATTTGAAAGTTATTAAAATGTATCGATAATTGTATATATAATACATTATGGCTGCATAAATATTTCTTTTATTAATTAAAAAAAAAAAATTATTATAAACGATCGGTAATCATGTAAGCAAAATGATAATGTGCTGTAATTAGATATCTGCAGGATGTAAACGTTTGAACAACAGATTGCAATATTTGATGTAATAATTAACAGAGTAATAATGTCCTTTTTTCAAGTTTCTTTTTGATCTTGACTGGTTGACGTATATGAATAATGTTCGTTGCATAATATCGTAACTATATACATATATTTTTGCAATGAAGTTTGTACTGGCAATAATATTGCGCTAATCATGAAAATGAGATGGAAATACAGAAAAAGATTTAGGTATATGACAATGTATTAATTCAAGAAAACGACGAGAAGGGTCTTATTGCTTGCGCAATTACGTTTCCTTGAGTAGTTGAAGCTCGCGAATTAGAATTGTAATATTTCTACTATTATGTGTATCGTGAAAACTACTTTGCGATAAATGGGCCGAATTAATTTTCTGCAATTTTTTTTATTTATGTTGTGTTTATTTACAACTTTAACAGTTTCATCGCAGCTTTAGGATAAGAATATTTTATTTTAAGTGAATAGGATTGAATTATATTAGACATATAAAGTATGTCCTAGAGTTGTTCCCGAAAAGTTATTCAAATTAATCAATTGTCATTTTTAAATAACGCGTATACAGAGAAAATCAAAATTCTGTATACATCAATTTTACTATTTTTATATTTTTACATTTTAATTATTTTTCGGATTATTTTTATTTTATAAATTAATTTTGGACTTTTAAATAATATTTAATGTGTTATTATAGTTCATTTTGTAATATCAATACATTTTTATATCAATCTTTACAAACATATATATTATATTCATTATTGTGTTATTTATAAATCTTCTAGAGACTAAATCACATATATTTCTATTATATTTATAAGGTATGACATACTTGAGTATGACTATGTCAAACATTCAATAATTATTTTTTAGTTATTTTCTTTACTGTGTGTGTGTGTAACTAATTCAAATTTAAATTAATATCTATAGACACGATACCACGAGAAGTATTTTGTAAATATTGAAGTATTTATGACATCTAGTTTATCATACGCTAGTTTAAAACAAAAACCGGATTGTAGCTTTCGCTTAATTGCATTTCATTCGTATTAAATAATTTCGCAATTTTAAATAAATATTACGACAGATTGCCATTTCGCGCAGGAGATGTCTTGCAATATTATTTGTGGAATCTGAGCATGCTAAAACGATGAAGGAACACAGAATATATGGGACCGTAAAAATAAGATTATATACGCAGTGCGCAAAGTTCATTATTTATATTTTTCTTAAATTATACTTTTCTGAAGGTTACATGTTGGTTGTTTATCTACTGTAAATATAAATACTATAAATATATGCATGTATATCCACATGCATACCAATAAGCAGGCTAGAAAAACTGTATGTTTTATCCTCTTTATATTCTTCCGGAAATAAAAAAAAAAGGTTATTACATCTTATATATAGATCAGAGTACACAACTAGATATTATGCATCACTTATTTTAGGTTCGAGATTTTGCTGTTATAACGTTATAAATGTGTCATATTATGAAATCATTAAATTGAGTCAGTTTTTATTATCTCGTTTTTAAATAAAAAAAGACGTAGGCAACTTTTAATCAGAATGTATTTCTATACATTGTAAAAATTAAGGTTCAATGAAAATATATATATGTATTTTTTGCAAATCAGATATGATTACAATTGACGATAAAACATCAATGAAAATAAATTATCACACAATAATATTTAAAGTAAATTAAGTTTATAAAATTTTAAAAATGCGTTTTTATCATTTTATTAATTCTGATAGAATAAAAAGCTTCCCCTAGAACATAAAACTCATAATGATGTCATTTTGATTTTATATTCATCGCTTAAAAGTCATTTGGACAAAATGATTAAAAAATGATTTAAAAATGACAAAGGGAATCACAAATTTAAAGCTCCCTAATATAAGACAATTACTTTATATAATTTTAAATAAATTTATGTTGCTTGAATATTGTTAGAATATGTGTGAACAATAGAACAAATAAATAATATTGTAATATATAAAAATGTTTTCCAAAATGACTTTTAAGTGATGTTATCATGATGTCATCATGAGTTTTATATTCTACTTGGATCTATATAACTAATTGATATTTAAAAATAAAATTCATACATATCTTATCATAGCGTTTATTGAAATTTCAATGTTTATTGTTTTCTTATGTTAGATACTGAGTGATAAAATTATTTTTGTTTATTAGTTCATTATTAGTGGGTTTCTCTCTGGTGATAGCAAACACATATGGAATTTCTCTTAAAGTTTGAAGTTTAAATTTTAAATTGATGCTGTACCTACTGTCGATAAGTTTCGAAATTGTCGTTTTAGTACTCGCTTCCATCGTTGGCGTCGCTAGTTAATTTATTACAGCGTCTGATATCATAACCTCATTATTCTTGTGTCGACAATCAAGCATGAGTATCATAACCGGTCGCAAAACAAGTTGGAATTTCGTTCTAAACTAAAAGTTGAACCAGTTAATCCACTCACAATGGTGAAATTAACGCCGGAATTGATAGAACAATCGATGCAATATATTAATCCTGTGCGCGATCGTGAATTAGATCTCAGAGGTTCGTGAGAGAAGCCGCGCGCGAACTTTTCCTATTGTTGTTTTACACATTGCATTTATTACATATTGTTCTTATTTCGTATGTTACAGGATACAAAATACCCACCATCGAGAATCTGGGGGCGACTTTGGTAAGTCAATGTTTCTTTTGACAAATAATCTTCAAAATAGAGCATTCTATTTACTTGCAAACTGTTAAAAAAAAAGGAAAAAAAAGAACACCGATTTGTATTTGCATCGCGTATACGGCACGATTATAACTCATTTTTACATCGATTTTTATATTTTTATGTCGAAAGTTTCGGACTCGAAGTTTGAAACAATATTTGTATTATATCGATGGCGATTTTTAATTAGGGATATACATATGTATTCCTTTAATATATGAGGCATTTTTTCCTCAACGTAGCACACAGAAATTTATATTTTTGTGTTTAATAATAATTATAAGATGCAAACTATAACAAATTATAGTTTTACTGTAGTTACAGTAAATATATTTATTTACTTTTTTATATAGGATCAATTTGACACAATAGACTTTTCTGATAATGATATACGTAAGCTGGATGGATTCCCACTTTTGAAAAGAATACAGACCTTGTTTTTTAATAATAATCGCATTGTCAGAATTGCGGAAGGATTGGAGCATTGTATACCAAATTTGCAAACTCTGATGTTAACTGGCAATATGATACAAGAACTGGGGGATCTAGAGCCTTTGATACAACTAAAGAATCTTCAAAGCTTGTGTCTGCTCCAAAATCCAGTATCAGCTAAGCCACACTACAGACAATACGTTATATATAGATTTCCACAACTGAAATTACTTGATTTCCGGAAAATCAAATTGAAAGAACGTGAAATGACAGTAGAATACTTTAGAAGTCATCGTGGTAAAGAAATGGCACGTGAAATAGCAAAGAAGGTCAAAGCACAAACGGCGGGTGCAGCTGCGGATAAACCTCTGACCACACCTGAGGAGCGTAACAAAATTCGTGAGGCTATTACAAACGCATCTTCCTTGGAAGAGGTACAAAGACTCAGCAAATTGCTGCAGTCTGGACATATACCGGGTGAAGAGCGATTGCAAAATGGTATGTGAGCTTGCATATTTTGAATTATATAATAGTTTTCAACATCTTAGACATACATTTTTTGATTTAGAAACAATTAAAATAATGCAACATGATTAATATAAATTTTACAATATAATTTTAATACATTTTATGTGCATATTATATAATGTTTTTCACATATTGTAGGAAGCGGAGCTGTAGAACCCATGGAAGAGGATGATGATTGAGTAACTTGTTTTCTGTGTTGTATTTATAATATAAGCCTGATGAAAAAACATGAAGCATCCCATTGTAAGTATGCAGTTATGTGGAGTAGGATGTGATATTATGTATATGATGCTGATAAGAAATTGTATACTACACAGATAGCATCTTTTTCAAGAACACTCATATTGATTTTTTAAAATATAAATAAAGATAAAATGATAATTTTGTAGCCTTGAAGCGAAAATGTTTAAATTTAGTCCTTATTATTACATGTAAACAATTTTAACATATCAATGTTTATTTCAGTGATATCCGAATAAAAGAATTTCTTCAAGAAATTCATTTTATTATTAACTCTTCTCATACATTATTCATTATATAGGCTATTGATAAATTAATGAGACAAAAGTTCAGGGAGTTTAAAGGCACACTGCGCAAATTTGCCTCGATAAATAAATAAGATTGTTTGTTTTTATATATTTTTCTAGATTTTTATAAAAGCTTATAAAATATAATTTTCAATTTATCAACGATTCGTAATTAGAAATTATCGAAATATATAGAAGTGAAAGTTTTAATTTATCAATAACTTAATAATTCGCATAATATAAAGTATAAATAATTTTCCTTATTCACGCGGAGTAATTTTGCTTTTATTATTCGAACGTAGTACAACGTTACATAAGTTGTATCAATAGATGTCAGTACGATACGCGACATTGTCCTCGGATGTCTTCGATCGCTCCATTGAATGTAATTTAAAGAAAAAAATGGGTAATTTCATCGCTACCTATATTACACATCCTGATACGATGCCCAAACCCAATGGACCACCGACTTTCGATCCGATGTTGGGATTTCCAAATGGTCGGAAACCCAGAGGCAAGTGTTGTCATTTTAATCTAACCTAACTTCGTTCGCAAAAGTACTTTAACTACACAGTATTTTGTTATTGTTGTTCGATTTGACCATTTAAAAATATATATCTTATCGAAATTTACTGTGCACATTTATTATCAAATTATCTTGCACCTCTTTATCACAAACTGAAGTTATGTGATGTAATTATGATGTAATTATGATTTTATTCCATATCTATATGTATTGTTGTTTTACATCTGCTGATATAATTAGGTGTATAAAATATGCATATCGCCAATTTATTAGATAATTTTGTTATAAAGAGGATAATTTTTAAATATCTGTACTGTTTTACTGAAGTAATGCGTGGAAAGCGAACTAAAATTCTAACTTATTGTGCTCTTTATTTAGTTGTAATTGTATTTGATTAATTTAATTGACAATTGTTTTACTTGGTTCATTTATATTGTAATGTTTTGCTATTTTTGCTTTATTATTAAGCAAAACTTGAAAAATTAAAATGCGTTAAAATTTGAATGTCAATCTACAATGTTTATCTGAAGAATTATATATCGACAGTCAACAGTTTTTATAATTTTATTTAGAAGATGCATGCTGTATTTAAATTTTGCTTACTGTGCTGGATTTACAGAGATGAAGATATCGGAAGAAGATATGATAGCTGCAAAGATCCCACTTGAACAACGCGATTACTGTGCTCACAAGTGGTTAGAATTACATGAATGTAAGAGGATTCATTTTCCTTTTATGATAAAGTGTGCACATGAAAGACATGAATATGCTTTGTGCCAAGTTGATGAGTAAGTAATTATAACATTAAATATAGCATGAAATATATCAAGATACATGCAAGGTATATATGCATAAAATATATCAAGGGGTACATTGTAATAAATTTTACATTTCTTACAGTTATAATTTAAGATTGAAGGAATATGAAAGAGAACGCCGTCTCCTCGAAAGACAAAAGAGGATACAACAAGCAGCAGCAGCGTGAAAATCTTGTATAGAACTCTAATGCAGTTTGATTGTTGTCGTCAGAAATTTAGGATGCACATACCAAAAGGTGGAATTGCTATTGTATATAAATTATATCAATAAAATATATAATGATTAGATTTTTCACTTTATGAAACGTTCAATACATATAATTTGACAAGATTAATATAAATACAAAAATTATTTTGAGCTTTTTAAAAATATGATACATTACATTTGAAACAATTTTGATAATTTGTTGCAAACTGTAATTATAAACTATACTTCTGACTATTTATTTGATCTCAAAGATATTTGGTGAAAAATCAATATTTTCTTTATATAATTATTCTGGAACAGATGTATATATAATAATTTTTTTCTTATATAGTAGCAAGGATAATTTAATTGATTTATGCAAATCTAGGATTTATAGTTAATATTTTATTTTTATTGTTACAAAAAAAAGAAATACAATATGTACAAGACGTCGCACGTCGTACGCAAATGAACGATAATCCTAAGATTGGAGGTAAAATTAGCGTCTCGCGTCTCGAGACTGAATAACTTATTAATTACAATTGTTAAACCCCTCGAGTGTTCACGTCGCCGCATTCCCCAACATCACTACACGCACGCGGGATGCGCGCTCTCGGTGCCCTTTATAGTTGCGCAGCTTTATATCGTGGCAATCGATAAAGTACAGAAAGCGCCGCGAACCTGCTACTTCGCGGATCCTCTTCGACGGCATCGGACGGCCGTGTGTGTCCGCGCCGGTTCCGATCGCTCTTCCTCGCGGTATTCGTTCATTTTCGCGTATCGCTATGTAAACAATCCCGTGAAAGCGCAGTAATGACAGTGGTGAGATATATTACGTAACGTAGGGTCTCCGCGCGGGATCTCCTTTATATTATACATGAAATAATAAATATGTCTTTAATATCGCCTCTTTCAATTTCTGTGCCACTCACGGATTAGTGAGTTCGACAGAACGAATCGAGCAATAAAATATAGTATAAACTAGATTTTCCCTTTATGTGTATAATACGTGGATGATTTCGATAAGCTATATAGCTCCGTTCTTTACGAGTTACGCAGTAATCACTAGTCGATTTTTTTTTTTGAATAAAATTACGCAAACGTTTTTATTAACTAGTGCGTTGTTGATATGCAAATTATTCGTATATTAGCTGATTCACATTGAACTGTTGACTTCATAATACGTAAATCCGCATTGCGGTATATTCGAGAGTCTCGTTAACATTGGCGAGTGTATATATATTTTCTAATCGCCTCTTTTTACATATGATATAGCATGGTTCAAGACACATTTTGAATATACAATATCATATATAATATGATTATCAAATTTTACGTATCTCTTCAATTTACATACGTATAAAGTATAATCGGCTTCGCAATTATCTATAAAAATTGTACCAATGGATATTGTTTATAAAACAATTTCGAATTTTTAATTTAACTTGCTTCGCGCTGATTGTCTTTCTGAATTATTTAATTATGTCATTTACTATCTTTTTTTATATTTTATTTTATTCTTTATCAATAAATACATAGACACAATTAATAGATACATTAAGAGTAGAAACACATTGAGCTTGAATATTCGCAAAATACCCTATACCTGATAATAGATTGGTATTATGCATTTGTAGCCACGCAATTTTTAGTTGATATAATAAGAATTTTTCTGATTGTAATAAATCGATGCAATACATTGATGGTATTACATTGAGCGCACACAAAGATTCGATACAAAAGATTCCAGCTTTGTAAAAGAGTTTTCGATGCGAGATTAAAATTTTTTTAGAAAAGAATACGAATCAAAAGCGCTCGCGATAATATTACAAACGCGCGTTTTACAATTCGTAATCGTGTGTGAATATTCGTGAATGGAACCCGAATCATCAATCATTTAGCAATCATTTAGCTGGAGTCGACAGCGCACGTGTATATATTATTTTTATATATACAGTATAATTCTACTTGTTACATGGAACCTCTCGATGAAATAAATGTAGTTAACTTGTATGAAATTTATTAATGATAAGTTATGACACACACTTAGGACCGATCGGTGTGCTCGATACACGATGATTCAGAACTTCTGAGAGATTGAATAACCGCATTGAGCACAATTTTCAAGACAAATAATTCTAATATGGCAAAGCGTATATCTCCTTGAATTATAATCTGTAATCAATGTAATTTCACATTGTTTTATCATTGTTTCGTTTTCTATGTTGCTCTCTTTACATTTTGTAAACTTTTAACTTTAAAGCTTTTTCTATACTTTATATTTTATGTAGAGATTTATTTTATTATTGTGTAACATATTGAATGTTTTTTTAAACTTTCAATAAAAAAAAGCGATGGAAGGCTGATAAAGGCAATTTTAAATTGTCGATGCTTTAGAAGTGTTCGTCCAAAGTGTGCGCGAGACCTGAGATGTCCTGCGAAGAGGACACGAGAGGTGTAACGAATAAAAATTCTCTTCCTTACGGAAGCAATAATTTACTACTTCGCAACCAGTGAATTGTTTGACCTCGATTATTTTGCCGGAAAGTTGTGTCAGAAGCTAATACGGTTTACATCTTACATCTGTCGCAAATGCGATCGAAATAGTCGCATTAGTGAATAAAAAGAGATTTCTAATGCACACTCTTTCCTGTGTCATCTTAGATTTCTCATTATATATCGTTTCTCTAACGGATATGAGAGGATATGAGAGTCTAATACGATTAACCTATTGGCCAACTGACTCGTCTTCTTCATTTATCAGTTTCTCCTGTCATCATTAATTTTTGTCATTACTTGCAGCTTTTTAATTGTTATTTTTAGAAATTTATATATTTCATATATACACATATAATATATATAAATAAATATATATATAAATTTTTAATGTATATTATATATATATATATATACATATATAATTATATAAATGAAAATGCTATAAATATATGAAAGTATTGACGCAAAAGAGGTGCGGTAATACACTTTTTTACTCATCATCGTATACTTCTTTCTTCTCACCTTTGATAATTTCATCACTTTTACATTAAGAATTGTGATATTTTCTTCATTGCTTGTATTTAAAGTTTCCTTTTGCAATGGTATATTTTGAATATATATATATTTATCTGTAGATTAACGAAGCATGGAGACAGGCTTTCGAAGTCGATTCACCGGTGTAGAAGGGAGCTACATTTGAACGAATTCATGATATGTGTATATGTTGTGTATATTTTCGTTCAACATAAGAACGAAGATTTTTTTTCTCCATATCATCCTTCATGTATTTTATTCAGCCTTAAATTCCTTTGCAGACTTTCCTCTACGATAAGCAGTCCTGTAGAAGTCAGAGAAGAGCACGAAGAAGATCGTCGAGTGAAGTAGAAGTAGACCCGCCACCAGTTTCGGATAACCACAGTCGAAAATGAGGGCCTGCGCGCTGTGCACGAATACCACGAAGAACTGCACCTGAAAGTTAATGCAGATTTGGCAGTATTCGAACACTAGAAATCAACTTTGGTGAGTGAAAAAAATATTAATAAATTTAATAACGTAAACCTATGTATATATATACATTAGAAGTGTGGGAACTTAGATTTCGAGTATATAAAACCTATAATTTGCAAAATAATTAATTTAATTTTACATCTTTTTTTTTGTACACACTCTATTTTATGTGTATATTTGGTTTACTACTCTTGATTTCGTCATATTTTATACGCCGTATACTATATCCTTTACACAAAGATCTTTTCCTCAATTCTCTTACCGAATCGTGTTGCGTATAACGATTCGTTCGCTTAACTTTGTGACACGATTGACTTCATCAAGCAATTCGAAGAAAATACGCCAATATCTACATTATGTAGCAATAACTACTCATAAATCTATTGCCTACCACATGTTCGTTCTCTTAACGATCGAGAGGCCGATCCGTGAATGAAACACTACGGGCGAGAGCCTTTTAAATCTTTTTGAACACAATTTACTTTACAATTAGTATTTTTCACGTTCGGATTATTTTTGAGGATCGGTATGATAAAAAAAAATTCTATTGAACGAGGCAAGTCGTCACACATAAATGTCAAACACCGTTAATCGACTTATAGAAAGTACAGGTAAGTGTATATGTATATGTAGCCGAGTTTTCGCGCACTATACCGATAAATTCACCGCGTGTTTATTTGGTAAAAACCTGTCCACGCTTTATAATCGCGATATACTTTCGGTACCAATCTATTCTAATCCTTTCGAAATATATAAAACAAGCAACGGTTGCAAGCTAACATTATTTCGAAGGAATTATAATTAGGGAATTATAAATATGCTATCATATCGTGCTAATTTGACATTTGCGACATTGGCATCTTACGAATCACGTACATAGAATCTCTTAAACTGCGTGAATAATTTCTTGAAGTTTTTTTAATTTCTATTCGCATTTAAATGTCAACGCATTTTTATTAAATTTATCAAGTCAACGAAAAAGATTTTTTTGTTGTACTACTCTAATATTTAATTAAAAATATATGTGCGAAATGTGAGTTTGATTGATTTTAACCGACCTCAAAGTGATTGATTATATCTTTCCATACTTAGGCAGGCACCAATATATCGTGCAATATATAAATTAACATTTGCAGTTGATATATTGCAACGTATGTGTAAAGAATCTCTTATGGATACTTACTAAAACCTTTTCTCTCATTTTTATTTACTTAAATGCCAGACACCTTGCTGTTAGATTTAGCAAGAAAGGCATGAAAATATTTTCTGTCGTTATAATCCAACTTTTAATTCTTTGTGAGCCTATTTATATATAAAAGACAAACGAAATTGCAAAAGATTCAAATCGATACTTATACATTTCTATTATAATTTTGAATCTTTTGTTATCACTGAATTTTTTCAACACTACGTGTTAATTAGAACAATTACATATTTGTTCAAGTTCTCAGTGTCGCAACAATCGATTTAGCAATTGCAGTCCGTTAAAGGATCAAACGACCGACCTATCTACCATTCGACTTAAATAGTTTCGCCATCGACGAAACTTCTTTTTTCTAAATGCTAGTCATATCCTTATCTATCTGCGCGTTCTCTCGCGAGATGAAACTCCTCGGAGGGGGTGGGGGAAAATGCGAACAGAATCAAGTACACCTGTACTTCTACAGGTATGTAGCGGATCGATGGTCTTGCGAGATAAACCGGGATAAGTGAGCATTTAGGTGAGGCTTCGTAGGTATGCGGCTGGTTCGCGACGCCCGCGACGACGACGACGACGGTGATGATGATGCTGGTGTCGCCGGGGTGAGGTGATAGTGGTACAAGACAGTGTACCATAGAGTACGCAGCATATCGGAATGCCAAATTGTTGCGCCACCGTCAGCGTGGTCGGCCAGGTCCGGTGGCCGGCTTTAAAGCGAGGTCTAGTCAAGTCGAATTGCCCAACGCGCGCGCGTTGTACTTTTCACTTTCCCTCACCCCTACCTTTCGTGCGCACACACGGCGCAATGAAATTTTGCCTAGGTAGAGACCGGGACCGACTGATCTCTAACGAGCACGAATGTGTAGCCGATGGCCCAGAATCCACGAGCGATCGCGAGTTCGTTTGAACAACGTTATTATATATCTCCTGTGAGAGAAGGGGTGACGGCGCGCCTATACTTTGTCGAAAACTTGCCCTCCATTCAGCAGAGATCGAGATATTTCTCGATTCGAAGGGGTATCAATAACGCGGGAATGAACGAAATTTACTTCCCCTTAAATATGTTTCGAGCAGTATAATCGATGTAGTAAAAATTTTAAGAGGGTTTAAACTTAGTTTAATGGATACGAATAAAAAGTGATTTTATAATAATCGTATTTTGTTCCCATCTATTTATATTATCTGAATGTAATAATTTTTAAATCTAAAAATATAAGGAAGATTCATGAATTAGGAATAAGCTTAATAATCTTCATCCAACTTTTTTTCTACTGCACTCAGAAACATGTCTACCAGTTTCTTGTATATGCAAATTTGATACAGTATTTATTACAATTTTTGCATAGATTTAAAATGCTCGATTGATTTTTAAAATCGCCACTATTATTGTAACAAGAAACGCCGAACTGCTGCGAGACCTGTTTTGGATCCTAAACCGCAACCAGTAAAGTAGCACGCAAAAAAACGGGCAATGAAAAGTACGTTCTATCGTAGATTTGATCATAGACTTTAGTTACTGACGCGAAGCGAGGGCACAATTTTATAAACAGTTATAAAAATTTCCTATTCTGTCTCTATTTAAAAAAAAGAGACAGAATGTATTCATTTTATTAAAATATAAAATTATTATTTTATCGTCTTGTAATTAGCACTCATTAATTTTTATTGAAGACACTGTTTATCTATCTTGACGTTATTAATGATAGAAGAAAAGTAGATATTGCATCGAAAAGCGGACTCGTAGGAGGAAAGCAAACATGCTACGTGTTTTAACGAACAATTAGCATATTTTACGTGCTACCGATGCACACCCTTTAAACCTTTAAAACACGCACGACGGGTCACTAGTGCTTCTATCCGTTCACTTTCAACGACGCGGATTATTATCGCGAAACCTGCGTTGTGCAAGAAGAAGGTATCGCGAATCGGTTTGATCCACGCATTGAGAAAATCGCTTGATACTGCCATACACTCGCGTTTCAAACGATGGATCATGTGTGCATTTTTGCTGCATTATACTCGCCCAGAATCTCACCTAACATTCTTATGTCTGCAATGTCTGCAATAGACATTGAATCGAATTATACACTGCAAATTATACATTGCATACATTGCACTTGAATAGGAGAGAACAAATTTGCCCCAGAGACGCATAATAAATTGATCCATTTATCATAAGAACAGTAACTGAGAACTTTAAATTTTTTTTAGAAATAGCGATTTTTTCAGATTATTTCTATTAGGTCATGTTAAACAATATATAATTCGGGACTACCTCTATAATTTTGTGCGTTAAACTGTGCTTTTAATTATATAATTATAGATAAAAAAGATTTTTATATATCTATTAATTTTTCATGTCTTTGGATTCGATCTAAACACATCGTTTGAAAATATTGCATATATTTTGGCCTGATTTAATTTTAATTTTATTCTTGAAATAATATATGGATATTAGTTTACAAAAGAATTTAATTAGATTCGCATACTTACCAATTGTACTGTGGTCAAATGCTTTTTCCACCATAAGTACTTTTGATATTCTGGACCCATAGCTGCTAACATATAATACGCGTACATGATGACATGTACCGCGTTGTTTATAAGATTTCCCAAAGTACCATGACCGCCCGCGATAAATTTCACACATATCCACGTCTCCAAAGGTGTGAGAGAGTGATGGTACAAATGCAGGAATGTCACCTGGCTGTCCTTCTTGCGCAACACGAAGAATATCTGAAATTTCGATGAGTAATGATGTTTCGACATTTTCTGAGGTCGTAATTTCCTGTCACTCAGCTTAGATTTGCTGACCTATGATTTACATAGGAATGCGTCCGTTTAACCCATTAAATATTACATTAAATGGATTCAAGATAATGTGAATTTAACAAAGAAATTTAAATGTTGTTTTTCATTAAAGAAAATATCAAAATAGTATGATATAGTCAGTTACATAACATACTATTGTACATTGATATAATAGTTTATTTATCAAAAATTATTGTATATTTTATTTGAATTTTTAATTAATTAATTTTTGTTCATTTGAAAATGTATATATGTATTCATATCATATATATTCATATATATCATATGTATTCATATCATATATTCTCAAGTCATCATATATTCTCAAGTCATCATATATACACAAGTTATTCAACTGTTTTTCAATAAAAATAAATGACAAAAAGCTATTGATTATTGATAAAAGTACTTAAAGAATTTATAAAAGTATTTAGGGAAATGAATGACATTTCACTGTCGTGATAATTCGGCAAATGAAACTCTTATACTGCATATATTCTCAAAAATATCTGCGTCCATTAACAGAGTGTGATGATTTTCCTCATTTCGAGTACGGTAAACGTGATAGTGGCAACACTGGTTGTCAAAATTGAGCAACAAACAATGAAAGAACCCGTTTTGCGATGATTCCTATGTTCGGTTGGATTTCACGCACTGTCGAAAGTCTAGTAGGCGCTTTCTCTCTCGCGAGGGTAGATAGTTAAACATCCACTTCGTAAATTGTTGGCTCCTTCGGTCAAGGTATCTAACAAACGAGTCGGCGATTGGCCGATTAAATTTTATCTACTCCTTTTATCCGCCAGCATTATTGCATGCTCGACAAGCAATTCGGCGCTGCCCGCTTGCGCTAATGGAAACGATTGCTTAAGGGTTCTTGCGCTGTGAGAAGGGATATACGAGCATACGTACGTGATTATTCTATTCTGGTGAAATATCCTAACCGCGTACTCCGCCTCTTTCTTTACCTCCCGATCTATTTATTATGCATACGAATATCTGTCGCAAGTACAGGGTAGTTCGTTCAATTGTTACTTTGCTTGCTCAAGCAAGCAAAGTAAAGCTATGCAACTTTTTTTTTTAATTAATTATACAGTTTGACAGAAAGGAAGAGAGAGAAAGGGAAATTTTGTGCAAATTAAATTTTGCAAATAGATAATAGAGTTTTGTTCTGTTTTATTTTAGATATTTAATTTAATAGATTTTATATTCGAGACTTTTTACTCATTGAGATATTGAACAATGAAAATTGTTTGAAAAATTGATAATCGTGATATTTTCATTTTAAAAATTTTAAAAAATGAAAGGAAGAGAGAGAAAGGGAAATTTTGTGCAAATTAAATTTTGCAAATAGATAATAGAGTTTTGTTCTTTTTTATTTTAGATATTTAATTTAATAGATTTTATATTCGAGACTTTTTACTCATTGAGATATTGAACAATGAAAATTGTTTGAAAAATTGATAATTGTGATATTTTTATTTAACAAAATGTGAATATTATGCTAGATGGATATTTGGTTATATAAAATTGCATCTTTTCAATTTTGATTCTATAACAGAATTAATCATGTCTCGAAATCTTATACTGAAAACATTTTATTAATTAATACATATATTTTAAATGGGGAAAACGTCGTTTTGAATGTTTTGATGGCACCATTTCAAAGAAAATTGTCAATCATATTTAGTATGACGTTTTGCGTGAAATATTCTTATCATTCATTACAAATCCCTGTATATAATATTTTTAAATTTATTATTGTATTTATTTTAATATAATTATTTTGTATGTTTAATTTTATCTAATTACATGTTGGCTCGAATATTTATTTTGCTGGTTTCTTTTTAATTTTCTTTTTTTTTTTTTTACAATCTTGAAGATTCTTTAAAATTTGCCGATTCGCGATCTTTTGCATGATTATTGCTTGATTGATGTCACGTAAATTTATAAAAATGAATAAATATTATCTTACCGTGTCAGCGAATTCTGTAAATTTGCTGATGAAGTACCACCAACAGAGGTTCGCCATCCTCAGAGCGGATGGATTGTGAGAATAATCGACCGGTTGACACTTGTAACTGTAGTCAAGTAGCCATCCAGACATCAAATGCTATAAGAAAATAGAAAATATCTAATTATATATATATATATATATATATATATATATATATATATGTATATATCAATTAGCTGCAATATAATTTTGAGTCTTAATGTAATTTAATGTCTCGTAAATCAGATAAAAATAACTGGTGTCTCAATTCATTTCGATGTTTACAAGAATTGTTTAATGCTTCAACATAATAAGTTGATGAAATATAATTTTGTGTAATATCGGTTTGAGCAAACATTTGTTTTATTTCGCCATATTGGGTCGCGCCGAACTCTGCTTTCCCTGCGAAAGATGACGAAAGTTAAACATGCCTTACAAAATCATTACAATTTAAAGAACAATAATATACACAATTTATAATTTTAAATTAAACAGCTCTATTTTATAAGAAATTCTGTAAATTAAAAATATTCTTTGGGTAGATATGCAATCGTTTATCGCTAATTACGTCCTAAATAAATATAGCATTATTATTCTGTTGATTTGGTGTTCGAATTGGGTTATAAATATTTGCATTGAAGATTGTGCATTATATTTCATTATCAACTTTTGTATAGCAAGTGACTAATCATAAATCAGGAGAAATTATGCGTTTTAAAGCCGACATGATCTGTTTTGCATATTTTTACACATTTTATTTACTATTTGCATAATAAACCTATTCTTTATCTCTCCACATAGGTTACAATTTTTTTCTTATAACTTTTGACTATTTTTTATTCAGTTTATTACATTTGGTCATTTTATAGTTTAAACATTTGAGAAAGTTTTACAATATTTTCGGTAAGAGAAAGAACGTTTTTTTGTACGTGCTTACTGATAAAAGATAGTAAACGTTCTTATTTGTAGGAAGTATAGTATGTTTAACATTTTTTGTATGAAATACATTTCATATATATTGAAAGAGTTTGTATGAGGCTCATTTTTCATCATCTCATTAATCGTACTTGACCGTGACGGCTCATGTGTGTTACTTTATTTGCTTTTAATGTAAAAGGAACAGCTGTTAAAGATTAGATGTGAGTATAATGAACTTTAAGTGAACTAAGATTATCGCATAATTGAACGAATAGAAATATCTTGAAAAGTTATCCCATTTCGTGCATATAAAAAGCTATCCTGGCTGACTCTCTAACAGAAATAGCAGTTACTGCGGTTAGTCACTTCTACAAAATAAACTTTCGCGTAGATGCAACCGTTCATTATCCATTCCATTGCGCATGAAAAATCTTGTTGTTTGACCTTCCATACAGAATTTTACTTTGTATTTTTGAACATGCGCCTTGGGAGTGGCGAACGAGGCTTAGCACTTTATGGAAAGTCGAAAACAGGATGTCTCACTGCTAACGAAACGCGTATGAGTGCATAGATTGATTGAGCAACGACGAGATTGTATAGCCCCGGTATGAAACATTACACTTCTCTCTTTACGCATATTTCCTGTCGCAGTTGAGATTGTAACAGATGATACGGAGATAATAAATTGACATTTTTAATTATATTTAATATATATATATATTTTTTTTTGCATTTGGAAAACCCTGCTATAAAGTATGATTTCAACATTTTCAGAATTTTTTTATATCTAATATCGACGCAACAATTTTTTATGTCAAAACTTTTGGAATATTTATATATTTAAGAAAGTTTTATATTAAGGATTGCGATAAGAACGCGTACAATTAATAATATGCACATATAGAATTACATTAATATATACTTAAAATTCATAAAAATATTTAAAGCCATTTATTTTATGTCTGCAACAGAATTTTAAAAAATCTGTTAAAAAATATATTGACTAATAATATGGTAATAAGAATGACATAAGTACAAAAGTATAGTGTTTAAATAAGTACGTTAAGTATAAGTGTATAAATTAGTTCACGATATATATTTTCGCCATTTGAAAGATCAAAACGTTTAACAAGTGGAAGAATGAGTTGCGAAATTAATATTTTAATTAGAGTATTACAAAGCGGATGCTTTCGCATTTTAGTAACCTTGTCCAGAACAAGGTTGCTAAAGATATTCGCTACGCCTGGTTATGCGGTAATCAGTAGGTCAAGGTTACCACCAAAGAAGCGGAGATTGCATCTCTTCTACTAGAATTGTAGATACTTTGTTGAGCAAGTTTTCCATTAAATTTACGAACAGATTCACGCTCTATATGTCCAATTAATTATTACAGCTTATGGCAAAATAAATCTTTGTTCAAAATTTAAAAGAAATATATTTTTTGTTTTTATGTTTGTATAAAATTGTATTATGTTTGTATGAAATTTCTGAAAATGTTGAAATGATTATTTTTACATAGTAGTTACCTTTTCTAAATCCAAAATAAATGTACGAATCGAAAACAGTATCGATTATAGAAATGTTAAATCTACAATATTTAAAAGTTGTATGACAGATTTAAATTTTTTTAAATTAATTAAAGATAGTTTTTCATAATTTTTAAAGATTCGTTTATGTGTGTGTTTAATATTTCTATGTAATAATGTTTAGAAGTGTTATTAATTAGAAAAAATAAACTTAATGATTATATAATCAATTAAGACATAAAATAATTAAATTTAATTCGAAGTAATTGAAAAGTTGATTGTGAGTCTTATTTCTTCGAAAATTTGTTTCATAACTTATTTTATAAATTTTATTTTATAAATTTGTTTGATTTCCTTTTTATTTCTTACTTGTTCTCGCGTAGCGAAAATTAGTTGGTAACGTTATGCAAAGTTCGTTTCCGGCGAACGATCTAACTGGCTCGCTTTAAGTCAGTTTGTTGAGTTCTATGATTGTCTGATCAACATATTATTTTTTAGTAATATTACAGTAATTTACATGAACATTGCAACGAAGCAATTGGTAGTTATATAAGACACTTATTTAAGACCTATTTAGCATATGTAATACAATTGATTGAATAATATTGTATTTAATTAAGGCCGGATGGAGTTGAATTAAGATACATATATGGAAATTATCGAGAATTATTATTTCGTTGGCGCGTGATTGTGTTGACTTTTCGCAAAGTATAATCGAAGTTCTAGGTCGAAGTTTCTTCCTTGATCTTTCTCTTTTTCTCTTTGTCGACGATTACGCGAACTATTCATCATCTCCTTTCACCGTCACACTTTGTTAACCGTAGCAATCTCGTGAATTCGTATGCGGCTGTCCATCTCTATTCTTCATCGTCATCTCCGCGACTAGTGATCCGATCCTTTTCGATCTCGTGTATACGTTGTACTATACCGACGACATACTTACATCGTGACCTATATAGCGAGGCAGAAGTTGCTTGACCGGCTTCGATCGTCGACCGAGTCCTTAGATCCTGAGAATCGTTAGTGCTCATGAACTTTGCACGTTATGTACGTTTTCCTGTATAGCAAGAATCTAACGGTGGCTGTAGAAGACGCGAAAGTCAAGGGTGACTTGGACAAGGTCATATCAAGCTCTCTCTCTCTTTCTCTTTTCTTTCTCTTTCTCTCTCTCTCTTTTAGTCACATACACATACATATACTTTCTTTCTCTTCCTTTCTTTCCCTCATTCTCTTCATTGCTCTTGCATTCCTCGCGAGCACGTTTTCCCGCCCAAGGGTTGCACGATCGCAAATTATACGATTTCTAGCTCGTGTGCCTCTTTGTCGAAGTGTCTACTTTCATGATTCTCTCAATAATCATTTTGTACTGGTTTATCTAACGATTGTATCTTCTGCGATATTTTTTCTTATAATAATTTTGCTTTTCACATTTATAATATTTTAAATTTGCGAATTTTTTAAATTATCTTTAAAGTAAAACAATTTCTCTTTTATATTTTATTTAATACGACATTTTAGCTTATAGTAATAACATATATAAAATATTCTATATTTAGAAAAATAAAATTAAGCACTTTTATCAAATGTTTATCTATATCGAGTGATTATTATATTTAGAAAATATCTAAAACATTATCTTTATTTGCTTTTCAATTCTCGTTTATCTATAAATTTTTAATTCTTTTTAATTCTCGTTTATAAGTTTATTCTATTTTTCTAAAAAGATAAAATTAATTTTGTCACACGCTTGATTACGTAATAATTAGATAATCTGAGAACATTACCTCGTACATCATCCCTAGCGAGAAGACGACTTGAAATGCGTTGTACGCTACCAGGACGTTTCTGAGTTTGTAGGGCTTTCTGTTGGCCATCATACGCGGGCCGAATATGACAACGCCGTATATGTAAAGGAGCACAATGAGGATTGTCGGTATAGGCGAGTCCATCAGCGGCCAGTCGCTGACACGCGGATCCGAGACTGTCGCAAGAATCTCCGTGTATTGATCTAGGGCCATCTTGACCAAGCCCTGGGCCCCTACGAATGTCCTGTTTGAGTCCGTCATCTCGAGCCTGAGCTCCGGCTCCCTTTCCGCCACTAATTCCGCTGCCGCCGATGCCATTTCTAGAAAAAAGAATATGCAAACCGGTATCTACATTGTTCAAAACAAACTTACATGCATTTAATCGAATCAAAAAATAAAATGTTACATGCCCATTGAACTAGAATTTTTAAACATAATCGTAAACTATCAAAGTTATCGTGTTGAGCAATTTCAGAATATATTCATCTATGTGTATAGATATATGCAAAATAGTGATTGCATATCGGGTCGAGGGAAAGACATCTTAATTTGTGGATAATAAATAAGGTGTGAACGTGAGAAATATGTATTCTTTCCGAAAACATACGTCATTAATACGTATGTGCTAATCACTATTATTCTTTATTATTCTTTAAATCGAGAATGTGGAAGAGCGACCTTATTTCTTTCATCTCGATGAAAGGATTAATATCTTAGTAAAGTCTCAAGGAATTTCAGGTCTCTACATTCCAAGGTTTAATAAATACCTAGCCTAGTCCCGTTCATATTGCCGGATATACATGCATAGTCTGTCACTCGCGTGGGTTGCGCTTAGTTAGTTGCGCGCGATCCGGACTCAATCAGATTAATTTCTTATTCGAATCAGGTCTTAATATTTTTATCTGGCAAGGCATTCTACAATTTTATCAGGCCGTCTACAGTTAGTATCCTATCTTTGATCGAAAATGGTACATCTTATAAATTATTAATAAAGTTGAATAAATTCAAATTTATATTAAAAATAAAAAAAATGTAATGTGTCATTTTTGAAGTAGAAGAATGAACTTGAAAAAATCAATAAGATATTTTTAAATTACTTTAATTACATATATGCACATTTTTTTTAAATTCAAATTATTAATATTCTAATAAATTTTAATTTATTCAAGGAAATTAATATTTATTCGTTTTTTAATGTGTCTTTCTTTCTAATGCATATGCATACGAGAGATTTATTATCTATCGTAGACTGAATGACACAATGAATTATATATTTCTCTTAAACAATGCAATTCCGCAATCGGTCGAGATTTGCCAATAACTCTTTCCACTCACGTTGATACGCGCAATTACACATACGTGTAATATTCTAATCGTTGATCAAAGCTCGTATGAATATGAATGCAACGGGTTGGGAAGTTCTGAGGATGTCATTAAGAATTCTCGCGTTATCGCGAAGTCATCATGCCACGCTTTCGCTGCGATTTTATTTATACGGATATCAACTGGTCTCCCCTTTTTCCCTTCCTCCCTTTTTGTTCTTATCCTCTTCATCAATCACCTCGTAATTTTTTTTGTGTTTTGCATACGATCGAATAAATCACTGAGTCTTTGTTTTAGAAGCGAACGAAATGATGTCAGAGAATTGCGAATATAACGTCGTTGAATCAACGCGCGAAGTTAAAGCATTACGAGCGAATCTTCGCTCTCAAACAATCTTCTAAGAGAAACGTTAACAAAAGTATTATACGCTCTAGTAAAGTATGAGTAGTTAATAATTTAAGAAATAATTATTGTAATTTATTTAATGCACAATCTCGCGTTTAACAATACATTATGTATCGCTAGAAATGCAAGAGTTCAAAATAACGTGTGTCAAGAATATATGTATGTATTTCAAATGAATTAAATATTTAATAATTATATTATATATGTACATACATTAATCTATTTAACATATCTTATTATTTTGACCTTGATGGCGTTGCCAAGATCATCAAAGCAAGATCATCGTGAATTTTTTAAATGGTACATCAGATTTTTTATCTTAAATTATTTATTTTATTTTAAAAACGATTCCACGTAATATTCTATATAAAAAGTTATGTAGGATAAGGATAAAAAAAGGAATGAGTTTACGAGATATTTTATACTTTAATTTGACATAATGTTACATAATTTATGAATTATTTCGTAAAAGATTTTTTTTCGATTTTATGATTATGAAAGTGAAGTATTGAATTAACTCAACATTTATGCATAAAATAATGAGAGAAATGAATTGGTATAATGAGAACACAGTTTTCAAGAAAATATATGTAATTACTAGTTGCAAATTATATACTTAATTTTAAAAACAATTGTTTTATATTAATTAATTTCTCTCATTATTATCCGCATAAAAGTAGTTGAGGTAAGTTGAGGTAAGATCATCGGAAAATGAATATTTGATGAAATATATATAAGTTTATATTTATGTAAAAGTATATCAACGTGTTAAAGTATATAAAATCATAAACTATTCATTTTTTGACCACTTTATCTTTACAATTTTTATACAGAATATTACGAAAAATGTATTTATATAAAACATATGCTCGTTCCATTTAAAAATTCAAGATGATTTTGTCGTGACCTTAAGTCAAAACGATAGGGTCTGTAAATAGATATTTTTAAACTCTATAATTTTTATTTGAAACATTTTTTAAAATGCGCTTACGAGACATTGGATTATTTTCAGACTTTTAAAATACTCTCTCTATATATATATATCCTATCACGAAGAATATGAATCGAATTCTAAATCAAATCAATCTCTATATTCAAGTAAACGGAACAGATGTATGTATGATTCTGTTCTGTGCTAAATTGCATTATCGTCATCTGATGATTAACTGAGGCTGATTTCTAATGATTTCTCGAAAGCTTCTAGAAACCGAAGCTCTCGATCAATATGACTATTGCTAAACGCAGACGAATGTATAGCAATGGATTAATTCCTTGATCTGATTTAATATAATACGCATCGTTCTCGTTGTACACTTTGATCATATATTTATACAATTGTAAGAAAAAATAAAATGTGTTTATTGAAATATTAGCAGTATCCGCGATTTCTAAAACATAGATGAGAGAGAAAAAATTAATAGCTAAAAATATAAAATGATAGTTTTTCGACTCGTCGAAGATTATCCCGCGCACTCAACTTTTACTGTACAACGTAATCGTGCTTACGAATATTTGATCCTTTCCGATAAATTCGCATAATCGTCGGGGACAGTCGCAGATGATAATTGAGTATTGTGCGTTGCATGTTCGGCACTCCGTCTTCGTCGCGTCACGTAATGCACTTTTCGAGATTTAGAACTTGTCGTTATTACTGTCGTAATTATTGCCGATGGACAGCACTTTCTTGCCGCTCTGTCTTCGTTGCGAAAAAAATTTATCGCGTAATCTTACGTACCACGCATCAATACCGTTTTATCATACGGTCATTAGATTACGTTCCCGCAGATCTGACGATTTGTGTCGGATTATTATAGATGAGTCGTGCGAATTTTCGCGTGTAACAACCGATTCGCGATGGAGGAGACAGTCCTCGTAATCGTTCAAATCATTTTCGTCGCCGCAGTCGATTTTCACTTCCGCACCCGATTGAAAACTTTTCACGTAATCATAATCACCTTTCGGAGAGACTTTTTCCTCGGTGTATTTTTTCCGCTGTCAAGTTGGGTGACACCGGCTAATCGAATGAACCGGAATCGCGAGAATAGTCGTCTTCGTGATTTGTAACACTCGATTGCTTATGATTTCCGTATTTGCGTGATGTAAGTCTGACGCTTTCGGCGGACGTGCGAACCAAGTATTATCATTTTTTAAAGATACTTTGGAGAGAATTGCGTGTCTGGTACGAGATAGAAAAGATCGTAACGACGACATCCTCACAATTTCATTACTCATGATTTCCGTAATTATGATGCAACTGCAATATGCATTTTCATATTATGTATTAGAATCTTTTAAAGAACGTCACCGTACCAAATTTATGTATGTACAACATTTATTGTATTCTAAAAAAATCTGATCGATTTATTACTCAAAGTTTTTCAAAAAGCTCCGAGTTGCTCCAGAAACATAGTCTGAAAAATGAAGCTTATCTTTATATAATCTCATCTTTATAAATTTAATTATCTTTCCGAACTTTTGTGTCATTTTCGATTGTGTGCCATGCGGCTCATTGTCTGTAAAAAAGATCCTTGGAACAGTCGTTTGGGATTAATATTACATTAAATTACACGTTAAAGATTTTTCAAATAACATGTGATTGGAGAACCGACTATTCTCTTCAAGGACCTTTCTTAAACAATGAGCCGCACATGGCGCACAATCTTGTCCAATTATACGAACAGGGAATACATTGTCTATTGTAAAATTTTGGTATTGCGTTTATCCATGCGCGCGCAGTTATCGAAATACGTCTATAAATCTCTATAAAAAGGATACGGGAGATGGGCAGGCAGCAAGTAGACTAGAAAAGTAAACGAGCCGCGATTTAATCATCGCCTCGACGCCGTGTTCTAAGGCCAGAGAGTTTGCGTAATTGATATTGCAGTTCCGCGGACTGCGAAAACTGGAGTAACGACTGCACGCCGAAAGAAGGTTGCTCAATGTCGTTGCGTGGCCCTTCGCCTTTTTCTGTACGATTTACAACGGCTAGTTTTTACCATCACTTTTCACGTACGCGCACGTATAAGCGTGAATTGCGTATGCGCATTGTTCTGAAACGGAGAGACGTCGAGGCTCTCTTGCCTTGCGTTCGCGTTTGTAATTCTTCAATGTTACAACGTTACGAATCCGAACCTTTGGATTTCAGATATATCCCGGACATACGCGTTATTTGAACGCGATCATGTCTCCTCGACGATATTAATGTTGCTTATGATTATAAGATTACGCAAAAAACGCGCCGCACTGTTTATCAAGAGAATCTAGGTTAATGATCTAAGTTTCTACAAATATTTCTATATTGCCTAAGTGAAAGTATTATTACATTATGCGAATTTACGCTAAATTTTATATTTAGAATTCAGAACAATTATTCATTTAATTTATTGAATTTTTGTTTCACATTTCATTCACGTTTTTTTTCGCCACGTTAGACAGAGAATTCGCAAGTACATTTAATGTTTGAATTAAATTTTATCTCGCTATTCACCGTTAGTTTTATTCTATAAATTTTCCAATTATAAAAAATTGTTTATATGTCAGTTACATTATTCGTTCTTGAATAAGCGAAAAATCAATTTTCTTCAATCATGGA